ATATATATGTATGTAATTAATTATATATATATATTTGGACATTCTATATTTGCAGTTGTAGTTTTGATTCCATAACTACTGTTCCTGAAAGAGATTTCGCCTCAACTTTTCATTTTATTACTCTGTGGAAAGATGCTTTAAATGATTATTACATTATTAGAACTTCTACTTCAGCCATAACAAGAGTAAATGATTAGTAGTGACACAGAACTCCCTTTGTTGCTAAGAATAGCAACCCAACATTCACAAATTTACTAGTGCCTTTTTTAAAAAATCATTTTTTCATCTTAAGGTCCTGGGGCTTGCAATTAAAAATATTAACATCTCAATACACATCACAACTCTTTAACCTCAGCATATCAACGATTTCTGATCTGCAAATACATTTTTTACAACGATCTTTAGGTTCTTGATTTTTCTGTTTTTCTAGCTGAACTATTCCAGAATTATGTATTCTATTACCTGTCCTTGGATAACTGGTTTTCCATTCATAAGAAAGGAAACTAACAAAAGTTCAAACAACAGGTGCTAATGAGAACCTTTTATTAGCATTATGATTGAGGAGAACTGGGGAGTTTAGTGTCTTATAAATGAAAGTAGGTTTCTGGAGTGGACAGAGGAAAAGCACCTTATGGTGTTTCTGGTTCTATTTCTCAAAGGCTTTGAAGGTTATAATTAGTTGCTACTGAATCACATGGCTGTAGTACTTCACAGCTTTATTTCTGGGCTGCAGTCCTTCAGTCAGAGAACAGGTTAGATCCAGACAAGGCCTATGCCTTTTAATTTGGTCACTTCCTGAAGACAGCTGGGATTTTTACTTGAGGACCACATTTATGCTCCTGGGCCCTCAAACTAAAGAGCAGTGTTTGCCAAGCTGACCTGGACCAAGTGATGGTGGCGGGCCTGTAAGAATGCTGTACAGTGTCAACGCCTCTATGCTCCAGTTAACGTCTGAGCAGTAAGTTGGAAGGATGGACGATGAAGCTGTGGTTGGTCTCCTTCCTCCTTCACAGGAGGGAAAACTGAGATATAATGAATCCCTGGAATTCTGAGCACAGAAAGTAGGTGGCAGGTGGTATAAATTAAAATTGGTGTTCTTAAGATTGAAAATGAGCAGCCTTTGTCTGTAATTTATTGTTATCCATTTCTGTATGTATGTTTGAAATCTCTGACATCATCTCTGAATATTCTTTATATCTTCAAGAATTTGTCAAACATAAACAATTGGATTTTGAGTTTCCTGTCAAAACCTCACATTTTGAAATCTTCAAATTGTAAGTGCAAACAACCATCAACCAATAAGTGGCGCTAAAGGCAGTGCATAATTAGGATGGTCTAGGGGTTTCATGTTAGGAGGACCAGTCACGTTAGGTGCTAGTTATTTTAGAATGAATCTGTGTTCACCTTGCAGGCATCATGATGGGGGGTGTTTAAAGTCTAGGCATCTGAAGCCTATGTGACCTTCAAGGGCCTGGAGATACATCTGGGGTAAGAGACAGAGGTGCTTGTTTGATTTGTAGATTCATCTCATGACCTTTTGAAATAGGCTGTTTTTAGTTAATTCAGAAACTTCCTCTTCTACTTTTGATTTTGCTGATTTCGGTAAGAAAAAAACTATACTGCTAATTTTATAATCATAGTATTATTAAATGAAGTAAGTAGATATGAGATCAAAGCTTTTAATTTAAAATCATAATATTATAGCAGATCAGTGACTAGGTTAGCCTCTTAGGGTTGCTGCTCTTCAGGACTGATGAAGCAGTCAAATATGCAGAGCTTATTTCTCACCTTTTTTTCTCAGTTTTGGTTTCTTAGAGGATTACCATCTGCTGGGAAAACATACTGTAGTTGATGAATGGGTCATCCTCATGTCCAGTGTTTTTGTGTCTCTGTCGATCCCTACTCCCTTCTCCACTTGATCTCATTTTTTGCACATGTGCCCATGCACTGTCTCATAAACACATCAAGTTTCTATCCCTGTGATTGGGCCATGCCAGCAATTTCTGTTTGCTTCTTCTGTCAGCCTCTTCAGGAGAAATGTGTACACAAAGGCAAGATGGCTTTCAAAATAGGCTACATCCTCCTTTCAGTACATGGTACAGACATGAAATTGAAGGCCATTCACCCCATCTTATGCTGGTTCTCTCAGCAGCCTGGAGATTAACCTCTTCTAAGGCTCTGAGCTATTTTTGAGTCAGAGACTGCAACAACATGAAAGCTAGAACCCATTAGGAAATCACTTTCATCATCTCTTCTTTTTCCAAATCAGTGGCTCTTTTTCTGATCTCATAACCCTTTAATCTCCTTTGTAGCAGAACAAGGAGATTGTTAGTTTGTGTTTGTGTCCAGCGAAGTTAACATCCTTGATAATAGCTTCAGAAGGCATCAAGAAATATTAGATATTAGAGAACTGCATAGAGAGATAAATTTCATCTCTAGGTGGATGACTTAATGCCGAAGATGCCCTGCTTGCCTTCTGCAGAACCGTAACTTTTGTTGATGTTGTGCAAATCAGGCTCAAACTTTCCAAAAGACACACAGCAGAAAGCCTTTTGTTGCATTATTTCTAAAGGCTTGAAGTTTTGAAGGGAAGAGATTTTGTTTTCCTCTCTGCTACACAATGGAGCTTTCAGAGAACCTCCTTTAAAAGGAATAGCTACAGCCTTTGTGTTGAAGGGTGTGTCTGTTGGCAGGGTCTGCTGATGCAGACAGACTGGCTGGTGATTAACAAAGGTCATTAGACTTTGGAATCTGGCAAGCAGAGTCGGATGGTATGTCTTCTGTGTATGGAAGGACGACTCCCAAGAAGCCAAGGCATTCTGGAGGTCCCCCCACTGCACCCCTAAATCCTGGTGTAGAACAGGATCTGGCCCAGGGTCATCCTGCTCTGACCAGAGCTCTGCTGGGACTAATGAACCAGCATATCAATCATGGAATAAAAGAACCTTTGGAGATCTTGGTGAATGACATTTGAGGAGGAGAAAGGTGCTGCTTTTCAGAGAGAAATGAAAACAGTTAATTCTTTGTTGGGAAGAGAAGAGCATAGGAGGAGCCCAGCCTGCTCTTCTAGCATTCATTTCTGGTTGTTAGCCTAGCAGAATCCAGGAGAAGCCATGTTGTGCACGGAGGAGAAGCTCTGAGCTAAAATGGCTGCCCCTAAAGCTCAGAGGACTAGGGCAGCTTAGTGAGTCTTAGAGCTTCAGTGACGCAGGAGCTCATATCTCTTGAAAGTGTGATAAACACATTCAGCAGAGCTGTGGCTTGTTTGGCTGAGATGAAAGGACTAAGCTTGGGGGATGGGGAGTGCACACTGGATGATCTGCTTTTTTCTGTGAAGTGTTCTAAATGCAGGAGTTGTCTGCACCATGGAAAAATTTGTTTTCAGGTCTAATGGACTGTGCGAAAGGAGAAGTGGGGTGGGGCCTCAGTGACTGCTGTAATTTGATCCAGAGCTGATAGCAACCTCTTCCACACAATTTGGGTTGGTGCTTAGACATAAAAGCTTGTGTATCTGGAATATTGAGACTTAGCTGAAAAGAGTCTGGTGCACAGTTCAATGTTTATTGAAAAAGGTTAAATTGCTGGGTGAAAGAAGTGGAGGTAAATATCTGTGGCTCACTCTGCAAGCTCAGTCTGTCCAGAACTGGACTTGCCAGAAGTTATTTTAGCAGGCGATCAGGAGGAACATTCTTTGATAGAAAATCCTTGTGTGATGACTCCTTTCACTACATTGACATATTATTACTGGACTTTTTTCTTCCTACAGAAATAGTTTATCTTTTACAGTAAAAGTATAGAGTATTACATCATAAAATACGTTGGCTGCAGCACTAGTTCTTAGACATCTGGTTCTAGATTACAGTGACTCAGTAGAGTTTGTGATGATCTTAATGAAGTAACTTACTCATTAAGATAATAACAGTGTATCTCAACTTAGGATATACATCAAGATAGGACTCCACCTTTCTCTAATATATGTTTGACTTCTTGATGGTGGGACTCTCCATTCAGTCAGAGTGAAGTTTTCTATATATTTAATTCATACAGTAAATAGCAGAATGAAGGTAGCTGGTAAAGTTTTGATTTATTCCACAGGAGGTTCATAGCTTTTAGCATCCAGGTATATACTTCATGTTTGTAAAGGAAAGAAGTGGAAAAAGAAAAAGTCATGACTTAGAAGCCCCTCTTCAAAAATGCAAGTTTCTGTTGCTTAATTCAAATTGAGCTGCCAAGGTGCAACTTTTAAACAGAAACTGGATTGTCATCCAAAGTTGGTTGTTTGAAAACCTCATGAGAAATATTTTATGACCTAATTAGATTGAAGAAGCTGTTAGGTTATAATTGGTAGGTCGTAAAAGATCAAATAGTCATTTAGCTCATGGAAATAAAAAAGCCCACAACTAAACTATTTGGAGAAGGAAGGAAAGAGAGGTACACCTCAACATCAGCAAAGTTATTAAAATAAGAAAAGCTACAGTAAAAACACTCTACCTCCACTCACAAGGTTAAATGCTACACCATTTGGTAATAAAACACCAAGGTAATAATATTAAATAAACAGCTAATGAAGGTTGAAATTTTCCTTTTCTTCTGTGTGGACATCTTTACTTTTGAGATAGTTCCAGTTTAAAAAGAAAATGAGTCCAAGGCAGAACCAAAGCCAATGTTAAGTTACCAAGAAATTTGGATTCAGTGGAGAAACTAAGAAACTTCTAAAACTTTTGAAGTATTAAGCGTTTCCTTGACAAATGGCATTGGAAGATATATCAAGCAAGAAAATGTTTATCTGGTTTTTTCCTTCTTTGAAGTTATGAAGTCAAGGACACCATCTCCATTATATCTGATTGCCTGTCTTTAGCCCATGTTCCAACTGGCAAAGTCCAGTAAGAGAAATCTACTGATACTGGAATGTTTTCCCATTAATGGATATATAGGCCCATCAGCTCGAGGTATGTGATTTGTGCATTCCTTAAGATGTGTTGTTCTGACTTCTGCCACAGGTTCCTAATGTGAGAGGGTAGACCCGGATCATGGAGGTGCTTCAGTGTGATGGCTGTGATTTCAGAGCCCCGTCTTATGAAGATCTCAAGGCACACATTCAGGATGTCCACACAGCATTTCTGCAGCCAACTGATGTTGCTGAGGACAATGCGAATGAGCCACGATCCGGGTCCATGAATGCCAGTAATCAAACAGAGGTGGAGTTTTCTTCTATAAAGGATGAATTTGCCATTGCAGAAGATTTATCAGGTAAATCTGTACTAAACTCAGCATGTCCAATGTATTTTAATTGCTTTTGTTTCCTTTTGGCCTATAGCCATGCTTCTTAATAGTTTCTTGTGCTTTGCTAGCCATTTTTCTGATTTGGGCATCATGTATCTCTTCTTGAGTATCTTAGGTGGTTATCCTTTCAAAAGCTTCCTTATATATCCTATCTTTTAATTTTGAGAACAGGGTAATAGCTTGGAAAGTTCTAGAAAAAGTATTAAAATTTATGAAACTTGTATTTTTATAGCTGTGTGGCTTATTTATGGAGATGAGGAGGATACCTAAAGCTGTGCATTGCACCTTTATCCATGAGAAGGTGCGATACATGTAGGTTCATTGATGCTTCGCAAATCCTCTTCAGGGCCTCATCTTGAGACTTTGGGCCTTTTGTGTGTGATGTTTAGTAACGAGGAATAATTGGATGGTACTGATTTGCATGACTGAATGTCTTAATTCTCTTTTGCTTTGTTTAGACCTCTCACTTTCCTTATGCTTTTCCTTTAGGTCAAAATGCAACTGCATTGGGGACCGGAAGTTACTATAGTCACAGTCCAGGATATTATGGTCAGCATATTGCTGCTAATCCCAAACCAACAAACAAGTTTTTTCAATGCAAGTTCTGTGTACGCTACTTCAGGTCAAAAAACCTCCTCATAGAACACACTAGAAAGGTCCATGGAGCTCAAGCTGAAGGGAGTTCGGCAGGACCCCCCATCCCAGGATCCTTAAATTATAACATCATGATGCACGAGGGTTTTGGAAAGGTCTTCTCTTGCCAGTTTTGCACATACAAGTCACCAAGAAGGGCAAGAATAATTAAGCATCAGAAGATGTATCACAAAAACAATTTGAAGGAGACCTCTGCTATCCCACCTGCTCCTGCTCCAATGCCAGACCCTGTGGTTCCGCCCGTATCCCTGCAGGACCCCTGCAAGGAACTGCCAGCAGAAGTTGTGGAGCGCAGCATCTTAGAGTCTATGGTCAAGCCTTTGACCAAATCTCGAGGCAACTTTTGTTGTGAGTGGTGCAGCTACCAGACCCCCCGCCGAGAACGCTGGTGTGACCACATGATGAAGAAACACCGCAGTATGGTCAAGATCCTTTCCAGTCTCAGACAGCAACAAGAAGGGACTAATCTACCTGATGTGCCGAACAAGAATTGCCCCAGCCCCACTTCCAACTCTACCTATCTGACCATGAATGCTGCCAGCCGGGAGATACCCAATACTACCGTCTCCAACTTCAGGGGCTCCATAGGCAACTCCATCATGAGACCCAATTCTTCTTCAGCTTCCAAGTATTCGCCCATGTCTTACCCTCAGATGAAGCCGAAGTCACCTCACAATTCTGGTCTAGTTAACTTGGCAGAGAGATCCCGTTATGGAATGACTGATATGACCAATTCTTCTGCTGACCTGGAAACTAACAGCCTGCTAAATGACTCTAGTTCTGATGAAGAGTTAAATGAAATAGACAGTGAGAATGGTTTAAATGCTATGGATCACCAGACATCAGGCCTGTCTGCAGAGCAGCTGATGGGCTCAGATGGCAACAAATTATTGGAGACCAAGGGGATTCCATTTAGAAGATTCATGAATAGGTTCCAGTGCCCCTTTTGTCCTTTCCTCACCATGCATCGACGTAGCATCTCCCGTCACATAGAAAACATCCACTTATCTGGAAAGACAGCTGTCTACAAATGTGACGAATGTCCGTTTACTTGCAAGAGCTCACTGAAACTTGGGGCTCACAAACAGTGTCACACGGGTACATCAGATTGGGATGCTGTGAATTCCCAGAGTGAAAGCATTTCTTCCTCATTGAATGAAGGTATGGTGTCTTACGAGAGCTCAAGCATCAATGGTAGAAAGTCAGGAGTCATGTTGGATCCCTTGCAGCAACAACAGCCACCACAACCACCACCGCCACTGCCACCACCACCACCATCACAGCCACAACCACTGCAGCAGCCACAGCCTACACAGCTGCAGCCACCACATCAGGTGCCACCCCCGCCACAAACACAGCCACCACCAACGCAGCAGCCACAGCCACCCACACAAGCCGCACCTCTGCACCCTTACAAATGCACCATGTGTAATTACTCCACAACGACTCTGAAAGGGCTAAGAGTCCATCAGCAGCATAAACATTCATTCTGTGACAACTTGCCAAAATTCGAGGGGCAGCCCTCGAGCCTACCATTGGAAAATGAGACAGATAGCCACCCCTCTTCCAGCAACACTGTGAAGAAAAGTCAGACCTCAATTCTTGGGTTGTCCTCCAAGAACAATTTTGTAGCTAAGGCCTCTAGGAAGCTCGCCAATGACTTTCCTCTAGATTTGTCGCCCGTGAAGAAGAGAACCAGGATTGATGAGATAGCAAGCAACCTTCAGAGCAAAATTAACCAAACCAAACAGCAGGAAGATGCAGTGATCAATGTTGAGGATGATGAAGAGGAAGAGGAAGACAACGAAGTGGAGATAGAGGTTGAGTTGGACAGGGAGGAAGAGCCGACAGAACCCATCATAGAGGTTCCCACTTCCTTTTCTGCCCAACAGATATGGGCAAGAGATACCAGTGAGTCCCAGAAGGAACCCAACTTCAGAAGCATCACTCACGATTACAACGCAACCAATGGGGCTGAGATTGAGCTCACCCTTTCTGAAGATGAAGAGGATTATTACGGCTCCTCAACAAACATGAAAGATCACCAAATTTCCAATACTGCTCTGCTGAATACCCAAACTCCCATCTATGGGACTGAGCACAATAATGAAAACACAGACTTTGGTGACTCTGGAAGGCTTTACTATTGTAAACACTGTGACTTTAACAACAAATCTGCCCGGAGTGTTAGCACCCACTACCAACGAATGCATCCATATATTAAATTCAGCTTTAGGTACATCTTGGACCCCAATGATCACAGTGCGGTGTACAGGTGCCTGGAATGCTACATCGATTACACCAACTTTGAAGACCTCCAGCAGCATTATGGTGAACACCACCCAGAAGCCATGAATGTACTCAACTTTGATCACTCAGACCTGATCTACCGGTGTCGGTTTTGTTCATACACAAGCCCGAATGTTAGAAGCCTGATGCCGCATTACCAAAGAATGCATCCCACGGTGAAGATCAACAACGCGATGATATTTTCCAGCTATGTCGTGGAGCAGCAGGAAGGGCTGAATACGGAATCCCAGACCCTGAGGGAGATTCTGAATTCAGCTCCCAAGAACATGGCGACTTCCACGCCCGTGGCTCGTGGTGGTGGTTTGCCAGCTACGTTCAACAAAAACACTCCTTCCAAGACCTTTAGTCCTGAATGTGAAAATCAGAAGGACCCTTTGGTCAACACTGTTGTTGTTTATGATTGTGATGTTTGTTCATTTGCAAGCCCCAACATGCATTCTGTCTTGGTTCATTATCAGAAGAAACACCCCGAAGAAAAGGCTTCCTACTTTAGGATCCAGAAAACTATGCGAATGGTGTCTGTGGACAGGGGCTCTGCCCTTTCTCAATTATCATTTGAGGTGGGTGCTCCAATGTCTCCCAAAATGTCCAACATGGGTTCCCCACCCCCCCCACAACCCCCGCCACCAGACCTCAGTACTGAGCTTTACTACTGCAAACACTGTTCCTACAGCAATCGGTCAGTTGTGGGAGTGCTTGTCCACTACCAGAAAAGACACCCAGAAATAAAGGTTACTGCCAAATATATCAGACAGGCTCCTCCCACAGCTGCAATGATGAGAGGGGTCGAAGGGCCCCAAGGCTCCCCCCGGCCACCCGCCCCCATGCAACAGCTGAACCGAAGCAGCTCTGAGAGAGATGGCCCCCCTGTGGAGAATGAGATGTTCTTTTGCCAGCACTGTGATTACGGGAACCGGACGGTCAAAGGGGTACTCATTCATTATCAGAAGAAGCACCGAGACTTCAAGGCCAATGCAGATGTGATCCGGCAGCATACGGCCACCATCCGAAGCCTCTGTGACCGAAACCAGAAGAAGCCTGCCAGCTGCATGCTTGTCTCCCCCTCTAACCTGGAGCGGGACAAAACGAAACTCCGAGCACTCAAATGTAGGCAGTGCTCATATACCTCCCCCTACTTCTATGCACTGAGGAAGCATATCAAGAAAGACCACCCTGCCCTGAAAGCCACAGTCACGTCCATCATGCGATGGGCATTTCTAGACGGCTTGATAGAAGCTGGCTACCACTGTGAGTGGTGCATCTACTCCCATACGGAGCCCAGTGGTTTGCTCCTGCATTACCAACGGAGGCATCCGGAGCACTATGTTGATTACACCTACATGGCTACTAAACTCTGGGCTGGGCCAGACCCATCCCCTCCCTCTCTCGCAATGCCAGCCGAAGCCAAAACCTACAGATGCAGGGACTGTGTTTTTGAAGCTGTCTCCATCTGGGACATCACCAATCACTACCAAGCATTCCATCTCTGGGCCATGAATGGTGATGAGTCAGTGCTGCTGGACATCATCAAGGAGAAAGATGCTGTGGAGAAGCCCATTCTTTCATCCGAAGAGTTGGCAGGTCCTGTGAATTGTGAAAACAGTATACCCACCCCTCTCCCAGAGCAGGAAGCTGAATGTCCAGAGGATGCAAGACTTTCCCCAGAGAAAAGCTTGCAACTAGCTTCAGCCAACCCCGCCATATCTTCCACCCCATACCAGTGCACGGTATGCCAATCTGAGTATAACAACTTGCACGGTCTTCTCACCCACTATGGGAAGAAGCATCCCGGCATGAAAGTGAAGGCTGCTGACTTTGCCCAGGACATTGACATCAACCCAGGTGCCGTCTACAAATGCAGGCACTGCCCATACATCAACACCCGCATCCATGGCGTCCTGACCCACTACCAGAAGCGACACCCGTCCATCAAGGTGACTGCCGAGGACTTTGTACACGACGTAGAGCAGTCTGCTGACATATCCCAGAACGACGTGGAGGAGACCAGCAGGATCTTCAAGCAAGGGTATGGCGCCTACCGGTGCAAACTGTGTCCGTACACTCACGGCACTTTGGAGAAACTCAAAATCCACTACGAGAAGTACCACAATCAGCCTGAATTTGATGTCTTTTCCCAGTCGCCCCCGAAGCTGCCAGTTCCCCTCGAGCCCGAGATGACCACTGAAGTGAGCCCCTCCCAAGTCTCCATCACTGAGGAGGAGGTGGGAGAGGAGCCCGTGTCCACTTCTCACTTCTCTACCTCCCACTTGGTCTCCCACACTGTGTTCCGGTGCCAGCTCTGCAAGTACTTCTGCTCCACGAGGAAGGGGATTGCCAGGCACTACCGCATCAAGCACAATAATGTCCGAGCCCAGCCAGAAGGCAAGAACAACCTCTTCAAGTGCGCCCTGTGTGCCTACACCAACCCCATCCGCAAAGGTCTGGCAGCCCACTACCAGAAGCGCCATGACATCGATGCGTATTACACCCACTGCCTGGCAGCCTCCAGGACCATCAGTGACAAACCCAACAAGGTGATCATCCCATCTCCGCCCAAGGATGACTCCCCTCAGCTGAGCGAGGAACTTCGGCGGGCAGTGGAGAAGAAAAAGTGCTCCCTGTGTTCTTTCCAGTCGTTCAGCAAGAAGGGCATCGTGTCCCATTACATGAAGCGCCACCCAGGGGTGTTCCCAAAGAAGCAGCATGCCAGCAAGTTGGGGGGCTACTTCACGGCCGTCTATGCAGATGAGCATGAGAAGCCCACACTGATGGAAGAAGAGGAGAGAGGCAGCTTTGAGAAAGCCGAAGTGGAGGGTGAAGCTCAGGAAATCGAGTGGCTTCCTTTCCGTTGCATCAAATGCTTCAAGCTGTCCTTTAGCACTGCAGAGCTGCTGTGCATGCATTACACTGACCACCACAGTCGGGACCTAAAGAGGGACTTCATCATTCTGGGCAACGGCCCCCGCTTGCAGAACTCCACCTACCAGTGTAAGCACTGTGATAGCAAACTGCAAAGCACAGCCGAGCTGACCTCACACTTGAACATTCACAATGAGGAATTCCAGAAGCGTGCCAAACGTCAGGAGAGGAGGAAACAGCTTTTGAGCAAGCAGAAATATGCAGATGGTGCTTTTGCAGATTTCAAACAAGAGAGGGTAAGGATATGTTTTGATTTCCCTTCCCCCAGGAGGCCTCTCATCACTGGTGCCCACATGCACTTCTTCGTTGCCAGCCAAACTGCTGCAGGCTTCCTAGTGACTTAGCTTGCCAGAGAGCTCAATAAGTCAATTAAACATTTCGAGCTTGATTATCTCCCATTCTGTGCTCACCCCTCTCCTTGGTCCCGTTCCCCTCCCTCCTTCCCTTTGACTCCGCCCATGGCTCCCCAAGGGAGGTTTGGGGTGGTTTCTATGTATGTCTTTCTGCCAAGTAGCTTTATCTGAAGCCTAGTTTTACAACAACGCTCGCTCTTTCCTAAGGCAGTGTGGGCTGTCTCTTGGTACCATTAGCACTTCTCAGCCATGTCTTGGTCTTCAGTGTTTGCTTCATGAACCTAACGTCTCCAGGAGTAGATTTTATTTTATCAAGAAGTTCATTAATGGCACAGCTATGCAACGTTGCACCTGCCTAGTTGAAACTGGCTTGCAAACCAGACAACTTAGTGGCAGTGACGATGAGCTTCTGCACAGAAATCTTCTCTACTCACAAGCCGTAATGCATTTGTTCCAAAGACTTTGCATAGTAGGCAGTGTGCCATGGTGCTGACAAATATGTTATATAAAAATACTCGCCTATTTCTCCCTTGGTTTTGAACCTGCTAATCTGCTTTAAAATAAAATATGTTGGTAAACTGCAAGAATAAATTCCGACGATTGAGGGAGGGCTCGGAGTACTGATGGCTACCACTGTATTTTACCAGCCTTTTGGTCACTTAGAAGAGGTGCCAAAGATCAAGGAGAGGAAAGTGGTGGGCTACAAATGTAAATTCTGTGTGGAAGTGCACCCAACGCTCCGAGCCATCTGCAATCACCTCCGAAAGCACGTCCAGTATGGCAATGTCCCAGCTGTGTCAGCTGCTGTGAAGGTGAGAACTGGAAGGTCTGGATGAGCATTCTTGTGTGTGAGCGATTTGAGTTACTTATTAACCCCATTGCCCAAAGCAGCTCAGAAAAGAGCATCTCAGAATGTGGGCATTCCTGAATTATGCTTGGATTGGTTTGGCTTGTTTTGATTTCTTTGCAGGTTGGACCTTCCTCATCTTTCTGTACAGGGGAAGGTCGAGTTTCGATCTGGTTTCCTTCCACGCGGATAGTTTGGTGGCAACAGAAGGTCCGGGATTCTCGGTCTAGGAGGCTTCGGGTCGTCCTTCTATTCTGCGTTTAGTGCCATTAGGTCTTCGTTCTTCCAAGTTGCCTGAGCTCTTAAGAGGAATCAAGTGGGTTCTGTTCCCATCATCTTCTGCTCCTCCCACTTCCTGACTTCTTACTGTTCTCATCTGGCTGAGGATGCAGAGAGCCTAGGAGAATCTCTTTGTCTTCTTATCCTGGGTCCTCTGGGGACTGCAAGAGACATTAAATCTAAAACTAAAAGCATTTAAGTCACAATTGACCCCGAAAGCCCTTTGACCTGGTTTGTCTCCTCCAGCCCCTCTCCCATATGATGCTGACAAGTGTATTCCCTTTTCCCCCCTGACTTTTATTAGGCCACCTGTTTTGAACATCATACTCCTAATAGCAGCCACCACGTCAATAGCCAAGCCACCATCCCCGTCTTCCAGGATATTGCTAAGCCCTATTATTTATTAAAACAGAAGTCATTTCAGGGTTCTGCCCTTTCTCTATGGGTACATGCGAATATATTTTTGTCATCTGCCCTTCTTGAGCTTACATCCTATTTTGCCAATTTTAATGTGAAGATAAAGCCTCTACTTTTCTTCATTGAAGACTGAAGCATTCTGTCTTTTGACAGCACAGTGGTAATGCAGGGATAGCAGCAGTCAGCTTCTTTCATACACCACTGTGGTGTGTCCCAGGCTTGTTTCCTGGGATCATGTGAGAGAGACAGAAGGGCTTTTCCTGTGTAATCCGTAATCTAAGGAGCTATCTCAAAAAAAAAAAAAAAAAAAAACAAGTGACTTAAAACTAGGCTGCTCCTTAATTTTTTGAATTGATTATGCAGCAGTCTCCAGTCATAGGGTGAAGTCACCATCTACAGGGTAGGGGCAGAGAGCAAGATCTTTTGTTTTACTTCCCTTCCAGATAATGGCCCAAGGCTCCTCAATGACCACACGCCTTTACTTTTCTTTCTCTTCCTTTCTTTCTCTCTTTTTCTGTGAGCCACAACCCTATCCCAACTTTATGTCACCTTAGATGGGATTGCAGTTTGAATTTTCTTTTAAGATGGGGGAGAAGTGAGTGAACTCTCTTCAGAGTGGGAGAACCCCTTGTTCACATTTCCCAAACAGTAGCAACCTTTGTCCAGATATGTTATCCTAAAATCACCTCCACTGCATGAAGAATGAGAGTTGGGCTTGCTCTCCCTCTAGGGGTAGCCAGAGAGGCAGGGTAGGAAACTTTGACAAGAAACACTGTTGAGTTTGGGAGAATGAAGGGAGAAAAAGAAAGCTGGGGACAATGATGATGGATATTTATTTTGTTGGTGGGGCATGTGTGTGTGTGTGGTTCTCTTAGCAGGAGGCGGATGACCCTGCCCACTTGTTCCTGGATGGATTGGAAGCAGCCAAAGACGCCAGTGGCGCCCTGGTGGGCCGGGTGGATGGTGAACACTGCTTGCTTGATGGAATGTTGGAGGATGAAACCCGGCCGGGGGGATACCATTGCAGTCAATGTGACAGAGTCCTGATGTCCATGCAGGGGCTGCGTTCTCATGAGAGGAGCCACCTGGCCCTGGCCATGTTTACCCGCGAGGACAAGTACAGCTGCCAGTATTGCTCCTTTGTTTCTGCTTTCAGGCACAAGTAAGTGCTATTGGGGGGTCACTGGTAGTAACTGGGGGAAGATGTCAGTGGAAAGCAGTAAGCTAAAGCAGAAGCTTGGATGAGTAAGAAGGCCCCACTCATGGTTCACACCTACTGCTGTGTTACCTGGATCCCCAGTCACCACATCTGTAAAATGGGGCTGAGGACAGGAGATTGATTGGATGGTGTTAGATTTGGCAAATGGAGGCATTTTAAAAATGAAATTTGGAGGAATTCTATGATTTGCCCAAAGGAAAATGCAGCTATGGAGAGTAGATGAGTCTCCTGATTCATCTGTCAAACATTCAGCCAAAATCTAATCATTGCTTGAGGAAGTAAAGTCCGTTTGGAAAACTGAGTTGCTAAAGAGGTAAAATTAAGACTATGAACCCATGTGACCAACGAAACATTGCTTGCAATTTTTCAGACCTTGAAAGGTAAGGAAGTTCATGGGTTCCAAAGATTTGCTTAACATAAAGGGAGATTGAAGAGAGGGGGCTTCCCATTACTCATCACAACTTTGAAAGTGTAAATTTGGAATAGGTGTGTAAGGCTTTTTGGGGCCATGGAAAGGGGTGGTTTTAAGAACTTTTTGTTGCCTTTCTCTTTCAGCTGTATAAAAGAGAGATTCAATAATGCATTTGGACAGTCTTGGATAAAGGTGACTAAGACTGAAATGTTTTTTTAAAAAAATTTTTTAATGAATAAATGATCAGACTGTTTGCTTCTTACAAAACATGAAGGGCCAGTTCGTGGTTGTCAAACAGAAGAAGGAGGTGGTGTTTTCACAGAGGTTATAATGGATTGTAAACACTTTATTATTATATGGAACCTAGTATCTAATCTTTGTCATCAGATCCATACATTGGCATAAAACTTGTAGGGTTCTCTTTAATTCATGAAGTATTTGTTGAATAGCATCTATCACATTGACACACAGTGGAACTTCAGTAAATAATTGTGAGTAATTGAATGTATCCTGTCTTAGGTACTGTGCTTTTAAGAAATATAAAGACATAGGCCATGGTCTGTCACCTAAGGGAACATAGGATCTAGGATTGGTTTGTTAAATTAAAAAAAAAAAAAAAAAAACACTGACTCAGCAAAATAAAGCTCATCTTTGAAAATATCAGTAAAATGCTATGATGTTTTAAAGAAGGAAAATGTTACATCAACTTTGAAAGAGTCAGGTAGGTTTTATGGCTTAAGGGGCATTTGGGCCAAGTCTTAAGGTAGGAAAACAGGACTTGAATAATTCAGAAAGGACATAAATGTAGAGGAACAACTGAGGGAGGAAATCATGAAGCTGACTGGGACCTAGCTGAGGTGAGGGTTCAGTTTGACTAACCTTAAGTTACATGTAAAGGAGTAGTGAAAGATAAGGTCTAAATACTTTAAAGGAGACCATATTTGGAGTTTTAAGTGCCAGGAAATTTTATAATCTAAATTACTGGTAAAAGGAAGAGTCAAATTAATAAAGTAATTATAATTGCTAACATTTATTGCATCTCACTGTATACCAGGCACTGTACTAAGTACCTTTAAGTATTACTTAATTTCATTCTGAAAACACTATGGCCCCATTATTATAATCATCTTATGAATAAGAAAAGTAAACATTAGACAGATAGTAATTTGCCTAAGGACACACAGCCTATAAGTCATGGCCATTATTTTATCCCCGTAGTCTGACTCCATGGCTTGTGCTCTTGAGATGAAAAAAAAAAAAAAAAAGATGGTTGCTGGGAGCAAAGAATTAAGAAGCAATAATAGTAGCTTGTTCAAGAAGTTAGGGAATGACTGAAGGGAAGGATTCGCTGACTTGGCAAACTGGACTTAATGTATGTATTTCACAAAGTGAAATACAAATGGCACCTAGGTTTCCAGTCTACTCAACTGGGAGAATGGTTAGTGCCATTTATAGAAATAAGGAAACGAAGGAGAGAATCTGTTTTGTAGAAAATACTCTGATGGGTTTGTTTAGAACAGTTTGAGTTTAAGATAACTAAAGGACACCCAGAGGGAGCTGTCCAGGGGCAGTTGAAAATGTTGCTTTGGAGCTCAGATGATCATTATGTGTTGAAATGGTAAGCAGTACCGTTCCCACATGAGGCATTTAGAATAGAATTTAGTTCTCTGGAGTACTGACACAAATTAGAACTTCTTCCCATACCTTGTTTGGTAGATTTATTATTTTTTAGACTAATAATTATTATGAAGTAGGGGTTTATTGTAATTAAATAACTCCCTTGTAAGTTGCCTCTGAAAGACCTACAGCAAACATGGCTGTGTGTATCAGAAGGTATGTGCAGCCTTTTGATCATGTGACTCCTTTAAACATGCTTGCACTGTGCCTCCATATTAATATAGACCCTGGCAACAAGACAGCCCATTGCAAGAAGGTCAGCCACTTTGAAACCTCCCTTCCTCACTCTAGGGTTCACAATGAAAGTAGAATTAGAATTCCAAAAGAAAGTCAGCTCTTTTCAAATGCTAAATTTCTCTAATTCCCATTCTGTTATTTGAATAAGTTAGAAGACTAATTGATAGGCACTCTCACTGGCTTGGCAGGAAGCTTGAATTCACCCATATTGTACCTTCTCTTTTTAGATACACTCTTCCAGTTATCAGAGGTCTAAGAAGGGACAATTAAGATTCTTACCATGACCTGCTACCACTGCCATATCTTTAAATTAAAAAAAATCTCATGATCTCTTCCTTTAGCTTCTTGTCCTCTTAGAGTAGGTACAACTCTTGAAAATTAATTAATTAATTAGATAAATGCCATTATTGGAAAGTAAACAGAAGGACTTTGAACGACCTAGAAGTGGGATTCCTGAAAAAAGGTAATGAGCAAATGCTGTATGCAGTTTTTAATTTTGTCATTCTTCTTTTTGTTTCCCTTCTACATCAAGTTTGGATCGCCATATGCAAACCCACCACGGACACCATAAACCATTCCGATGCAAACTCTGCTCCTTCAAGTCCTCCTATAACAGCCGGCTGAAAACACATATACTCAAAGCTCATGCTGGTGAGTTGTGCATTGATAATGCACAAGTTCTTTAGCATTCTCTGAGTTTGAGACCTGATGGTCTTTATTGAGTGAAATACTGTCTTGCCTTACACGTGAGAATGTTATTCTTGGGATGGATGCATATTCAGTTTTGTTTACACCTAGTAAAGGAAAATAAAGAAAAAAGTAAAAGTTAAACAAAATCACCTAAGTCCAAAATAATGCAAAGCCTATGTCACCTGGTTTGTCTGTGCCACTAACAAGTTAGAATTCGACTGTTCATGATTTTTACAGAAATTTCTAAATTGCCTAAACTTTCTGATGCAATTGCCAAGAATTGTTGTATCTACTAAAAGGACTTACCAACTAAAATAAAGTTATCATTTTAAGAAGTTACAAAGGACAAAGGGAACTCAAGGTGTCTGAGATTTTTCAAGAGATACCCTTAGATACATTTCTGTACATAAGATAGAAACTGACTTTGGGTTGTGAGTGTCCAGGAGCTGCACTGGTCTCTATGATTTTGTAGTTTCATCTCATTCATTAGAAAAAATTTGGAAATGAAAGAGCTACAGCCAGTCTTCTATAATCTTATCTGAAGACCACTGCTGTTGACATCCAATGCATCATGAACTTTCCTTACCCACCAGGCTCTGCACTAGGTGTGCTACGTGCATCTTTTTTAGTCCTGCAATACTCCTAAAGGGGAAGCGTTGTATAACCCTTGGCAACACTTTGAACAGTGTTGTAAGAACCACTCAGAACCTAGGTCCTTCGCTATTGCCTGCTCCTCATACTCTGTGTAAACAGGACCATGTCTCTTCACTATCTTCTGAGTCTTGGATTTTGTCGAACTGACTTAATGCAGTAACATTACCCGGGGATCCCAGCTGCCCCAAGCTCCACTAGGAGTCAGGGATGGGACAGGGAAGTTAGCTATAGGGGCTTTTTCTCTATCTTTTCGTATTTTTCTGTCTCTGAGAAATTTCTACTAAAGTCCATGGTATGAGTGGCTTCAGGATTCAAATCTCTCTTTTCTAACTCGTGTGTTTTGTAAATTATCCAGCTGGGACACTATCCTGGTGAGTTTTGCCCATAGGCCTTAGACTTGTCAAACGTACTTTTACTAGCAAGAGCTGGGAGATGATTTGGCCTGTGGGAAAGACTTTAAGAGAGCATCAGAGACTGCACACTGATGCCAGCATATTAAGCTAACGTGTCTGCTTTTGGAGCTGACCCAGCAAACTGGCCTCCCTATGCTCACTGGCTGGCAAGAAGAGAGCATCCAGTAAGAGAGATTGGGAGCAATGTAATCCAGCTCTTGACATGCCTTGGAACCTTGGCCTCCATGACATGGCTTTGAGCCACTAAGTGCAGCGTGGCTTGGAAAAAGCCAGTACATTTTGTGAAAGACTCTTGACTCATCTTGTCTGTTCTAGATGGATTATTTTATTTTATTTCAAAGGAGGAAAGGTAACATATGGTAACTCAAACATCAGGATTTGAATTCTCTCTCAGGTCGTGCGACTCACAGCCACCAGCAAGGTTCACAAAACCAAGCTTCTGTTTAAAAAAAAATGAAAAATTAGAATAAAGAGAGCAGTAGTATTCTATACATTGTTGTGTAAACAGCATGCTCAGCATTGTCATCTCACTCCTAAAGAGATACAACTGACTGGTGTTCCTGGTTGGGTCCTCTGACATTTTTGAACTTCTGCCCTGCTTCGTGCTTTGTGATGTTGGGGAATTCAAGTTTTTCTGTGGTTTTCTTCAAGACTTCTGTGGAAATACAAGCTCTGAGGGTCATGAGTGGTGAGAGGAACACTTAATTACAGAACTTGGATGCTATGGTCACTATACATGTGAACCCATTTAGTAATTTTCATGGTGGCAGAAAAGTAATAATCTCGGTTAAAAGCAGAACAAAGAATTATCTTCCAATATCTGTTTTTCTTACATTTAATCCTTAGGCCACAGCTCTGTTCATTTTCACTGGTCCACAAAACGTTATGATTCTGTTTTCTCTTCTTTCTTCTCTGATTTTTAAATATCACCTTAAAAATTGATTTTAAAAATACATGTTCATTAGAGAAAATTTGGAAATGAAAGAAGAAATAGTCATTCATAATCTTGTTATCTAAACTTTGTGATTCTGTTTTCTTTTTTTGCTGATTTTTAAATGTCACCTTAAAATTAATTTTAAAAATGCATATTCATTAGAGAAAATTTGGAAATGAAAGAAGAAATTCTGTCATTCATAATCTTGTTATCTAAACACCACTCTTGTTAACATTTCATATATTTCCTTTCAGTCATTTTCTCTGTAATTATTTTTAACAGTTGTAATTCTAATGTAATTGAATATGTATATTTAGCCTTTCTATTTACTTTTATTTTTTATGTTATTGTAAACTCCAAGAATTTATTTTAATTGAATAAAATAAATTATCAATAGGATATGCCCAGATTTACTTGTTTCTTGTGGTTATAAATTTAGTTTATTTAATACATTTTTCAAGCATAAATAATGTATATTTCTAAGTGAAGCTTTATATTTATTAAAGGATATCTTTTTATTTCCCTTGGAAGTGGAATTACTGGGTTGGAAAACATGAGTATTTCTTATTTCTTTTTTCTTTCTTTCTTTCTTTTTTTTTTTTTGAGATGGATTTTCACTCTTGTTGCCCAGGCTGGAGTGCAAGTGGTGCGGCCTCAGCTCACCGCAACCTTGGCCTCCCGGGTTCAAGTGATTGTCTTGCCTCAGGCTCCTAAGTAGCTAGAATTACAGGCATGTGCCACCACGCTCAGCTGCTAATTTTATATTTTTAGTAGAGACAAGGTTTCTCCATGTTGGTCAGGCTGGTCTCAAACTCCCAAGCTCAGGTGATCTGCCCACCTTGGCCTTCCAAAGTGCCGGGATTAGAGGCCTGAGCCACCACAACCAGAAAAACATGAGCAATTCTAAGTCTATTGTTCTTAAAAGCAAAATGGCTTTCGGAATTGATCTTACCAATGTATATGTGTCCAACAATTTAAGCATGCCTACTTAACACTCTTAGTTCTTAAAATGTAATTAATTTAAAAGGTAACATATGGTGAAAGTAAATCACACTCTAACTTAATTTGGTCATAGTGATCTGTGTTATATTTCAGTGGCATAAAATTAATTTAAAAAATAGTGCTTATTTTTACTGAGAGGCACTCTTTATTGAAGGATATTGGAGATACACACACACACACACACACACACACACACACACACACACACAGTACCCCCTAAACCTCCATGTTTACAGAAGATAACAGCCCTCTTCCTTAGAGAAATGAACACACACACACACACACACACACACACAGTACCCCCTAAACCTCCATGTTTACAGAAGATAACAGCCCTCTTCCTTAGAGAAATGAATTATGACTTATTTTTACCCATTTCTGTGCTATTGCCCAGCTAGGGAAATGGAGTTCTATGCTAAGGTTTGTGAGCTGGTCCAAAAATGTATATATGTGGGATAAGAACATGTATAGTTAGCAAGGAAGTATAGAATAGAATAGCACAACAGAGCTTGCACTGAATGACTTTGTGCTTACAAAGCCACTAATAGATCTTTGGAATAAGAATTAAGCATATTATTTTCTGTGACTGACAAAAAGGCAACCTTGTATGAAACCTGACATGGTCATTTCTAGTGTAGAGAGGGAGGAAGAGGGATTGGATATTTTTCTGAAGGAGGTTTCATAGGCAGTTGGGTTTCACCTCCTATTGGGGAATCAGTTTATAGCTTCACCCCTGTAAGTAGAGCCAAAATGAAAAAGGGCCAGTTTACTAAATTCTGGAGTTCATGGAGGAGTTTCAACTCCAAAGGAGCATTGTGGTTGTGGGAACGGGCAGGTTGTTGGTTAATGAGGGTTTGTTCATAGAACATGAAGCTTGAGAAGCGCTTCTCGAGAATGAATTAACTGTGTTCTCTTGTTTCCACCCTGACCTTAAACCCTTCTCCCCTCTTTTTCCTGTTCTATTTCTTGTCACCATCCTCTTCCAGGTGAGCATGCCTACAAGTGTTCTTGGTGCTCATTCTCCACCATGACAATCAGCCAGCTGAAGGAACACTCCCTTAAAGTCCACGGAAAAGCCCTGACCCTCCCCAGGCCACGGATCGTCAGTCTCCTCTCCTCACATTCCCACCACTCCTCCCAAAAGCCTACCCCGGCCGAAGAAGTGGAAGACTCCAATGGTAAAAAGGGGCTTCCAAGCTGGAGTTAACCACTCAGGGTTGAGGTGGGCTGGGATTCATTGCCAATCATTCTTTTTAGTGGGAAATCTTATGTGTAAATATGATGGTTCAAGTGAGGGAAGAAATGTGAAAAGGTTGAAATGGTGTAGAAATTGGAGTGGGAAGGGGAAATGAACTTGTTGAGCATCTGTGTGACGCCATGATGAAAATGGCCATCCATGCTCGTCAGAGCCTTGCTGGTAGAAAGAGCCTGTCGACTTGGATTGTTCCACTGTGGTTTCAAGCAAGAAAGCGAATGGAGTACCAGGCCGATTTCTTTGTTCATTTTTATTTATATCCTGTGTTGTTCTAAAAAAGATGTGCCGTGAAGCATTTGGGGTGACAGATATGTACATTAATGACACAGAGTTCAGAGTAGAAATGCAAAGGATGAATGAGTGGGGAAATGTGTCTGACTGAGCCACGTCATACCTTAGGGGTGACATAGAGATTTCTTACAGCTAAAGGATGCTAAGGAGGCATGAGTTGGGAGGAGAGTTTTACTGTTTAGAGTTTGAGAAGAAATATAGGAAGCCACGGAGAGGGTCTCCTTGCTAGCAGTGTGGCCAAAGCCATAGGGAGAGAAAGTGAGACTCTAGACCTTGGGGCCTGCAGATATGGCATAGTAAGCAAAGGGATAGTTTATTGTTTTTATAAGACCCAGAAGCAGATCTGTTTTGATTTCTCAGCTCACCTCAGTTGATTGCAGAATCAGCTACTTAAGAGAGAAGTAGAGGAAGTCTGCAGATTCTTCGAGGTAGAGCTGCTCTCTTCCAGACCCTTCTAATTCTTGGTTCCCTTCTGCGATAGCCAGTTGGCCACCATCAGCTTAAGTACTTCCCAGGTCAAGGAACGACTGTCTCCTAAGGTCTACTTTTACATTCTTGGGAGGAGCTTAGTGGACTGGAAAGAAAGCAGAACAAAAGCCTGGATTTGAATCTTGCTTCTTTCAATGGTGGTCATGTTTCCCTTGGCAAGCTTCTTGTACCCATTTTAAAACTGGATAGTGATATCTACCTCAACCAATTATCTTCAGAGATTAATGAGAAAAGGTACACACATGTAAAATACCTCATACAGCATCTGACACATAGTAGGTATTTAATAAATGGTCATTTTGTTTTTGTACTTTTCATCCTTTGTTGGCAATTGTGGACTTTGGGATCATTTATAACAAGTAGGAATTTTGGTGATTTTTAATGTGTGTGTTTAAAACAAGACACTCTTCAGATAACATGATGATCTGACAACCCATCTTGTCAACATGGTCTAATTCTCAGATTATCAAAAGAGTAAATGAGTAGTCTTTATTCATGAGATCTGTGAGCAGACACCTGTAGGAGGAAATGGAATGGTAAGTCCTAAGATGAAAAGCTGCTTTTTCAAAAATGTTTGAAGCTTGGTGGACTTTCCTTTGCAAATCATTTATAGTGTTCGACACCATAGCTTCTTACTGGTATGCCTGCCTTAAAGGACTTCTGTTTAACAAAGAAGGCTTGTTACGATGGCCACGACTTGTAATGAAGTAACTACCCAATCTCCTTAGGTACTGTGTAGTAGTTTAAAATGTGTAAGGAAGCCTATGCTGTTTGTTTTTTCTTCTGGGAAAATTTAGAGTCACGCATCTAGGGCTGGATGAGAGTACCTGTGGAAGGGTAAAGAAAATGTCCCCTTTCCACCTGGAATAGTCTATTCACCAGGAAAGGTTGATAGATTGCAACCAAAAGGGCAAAATCTAATTTGACCCAAATTGTAAGATCTGTATTAATGTGATTTTTAATTAATTGTTTTCATCTGACATGGAAGCTACATTTTTGGAGCTGCTTGGATGAAATCAATTCATCTCAGTGCCGTTGCTACCAAAGGCTTTTGCTGGGACATTTTTCTCAAAGTCATACCTTCTTTTTCCTTTGTCTTTCTCCCTTGAAGGGTGAGTCTCAGTCAGAGGTCAAGAGATTCCTTTAAACCCACCCACTGCTTGGATCGTCAACCTCTGCATAGACTAAGAAGAGTTGAGTTCAATTAAATTCTTGAGCCTGTATTCTTTTCTGTAGTATGCACAGAAGAATCAGAAAAGAGTATAGTATTTGTCTGGCCTGCCGACAGCTTAAAATCAACTGTTCAGATGACGTTATTAATTCTTACATTTGAGCTAATCACCACCCTAAGCCTCAGGCCAAACCTATTTGTGGAGTGATTTTAGATTCTTGGAGGATGGACTGTGGGGAGTAGTGGGTGTCACAGAAATATGACAAAGTGATATCGAGTAGTCCTCTGTATAACACAGCCTGTATTTGTCTGGCCACAGAGAAATAATTTGCAATATATAAAACTGATTCTTATTTTTCTTCTTAAGAAACAACATAGTAACTGAAAGCTCTGGGTGGTAACTATTTAGTGAGGCCTACACAAAAGTGATTCATCCTGTACTGTTTTTAACGTATATAAATAACCTATATTAATGGATCAGCAGTGATTAGTTTAATTTGATGACACAAAAGCCGATTCGAAGGTGGGGTAAACAAAAAGAAGGCGATTCACATGAATGGATAATTCTGTGGAAAGAATAGTTAATAGTTTGTTCATTCAGTAGGTATTTTCTTGAATCCTTACTATGCATTTTGTATAGTTTTTCAAGGCCAAGAATGGCTGAGCAGCCCCAAAGTAAGAGACTATTTGCTAAGGAGCTGGATGGTAGATTCCTAGAAACAGCTAAGTCTATAGGATGGTAAAGCAGCTGTGGGGCTAAATTATTCTTTGAATGGTGTTTGAAACACACATGTGAAATCCAGTTGCACATTTTAATAGAGAGAAGCTGTGGGACTATTGGCTCTCAGTTAAGATTTCCCACACTGCAGATGCCAGGACAATGTGAACACACCAACCAAAAATGTGTTGCAGGCCTAGGGGGAGTCAAGATCCGTAAAACCGGGGAAATCACCATTGTATCTTTGGCTTTCTGATTCCCTAGTGAGGATGTGAATAAAACAAGTTGACATGCTCACTGCTCTTTGCAGTGGTCAAATGCTTACCGTCTTGAGAGTGAGCCAGTCTTCTCTGGCAGAGGGAAACAGCCTGAAAAGAGAGGTTCTTTCTAAGCTGTTTTCCCTCCCAACCCAGAGGAAAGCACTTTGAGGGAGGAAAGCAGAGAAAGCAAAAATGAGAAGGTAGAGGGGAGATTTCACTCCAGCTGCCTGGCCACACACCTGTTCTTTGCTTCAACCATGCTCTTGGGCTCTGAGCTGTCAGTCTTGACATGTTTCACCAGCACACAAATCCTCTATATATTCATGATGATCAGTTGTTGGAAAGAAAAGCAAGGGCTGTATGGTATTGGTTTTGTGTATAAGATAATGGGAAATGACACATAATTGCTATTCTAAACAATGCATTAAGGGGAGACAATAAGGTTGTCAACAAAGGGAAATGCTCTGCTGTGTTTGTATTTACTGTGTTCCTTCTGCCATATACAACACAGGACTGGCTTTTATCAGGCTGTTTCCAAGTCTCTGCTTTCAGTACAGAAAAATACACATACACACACAGCTATAAAATAACAAAGAAACTAGGACAGCATAGTTTAGCTATGAGATTTCTTTTAGGTCTGAGAACCTATACAGTACATGAGCAATGGATATGTAACTTAACATTCAACTATATGTTTTATAGGAAAGCAAGCCACTGGTGACATTCCATCTTTTTCCTCCCTCTAGTTTCTCCTGGACTAATAAGTTATTTTGCTTCTTCTATCTGTGCACTTATGCTATGGAATTGCCTGCTTTAGAAAATAGCTACTATCATGCATTTAGGACCAAAGCAAAAATCAGACCAGGTGCAAAATGAATAAGGTGAATGATGGCAACATAGTGGTTTTTGTTTGTTTGGTTTTTTTGCCCATGCCTTAGTTAGCCACCCAGAGAAAACACAAAGAACACTTGGTTGTGATACCCCTCCATTTATAATACAAAACTTGATAGAGTCCACCCAAAAGAGAAGTCTGTGATATCATGATTTAATAGGAAAATGTTGCAAGGAGCTTTGCAATTTCCTTTTGCACTGATTTTTTTTTTTAATAAATCTCAATCGGGTTTTCTGTTCTAAACTCTAGAATAATATTTGACAAACTGTTTTTATCAAGACATTTCTCATCAAGGAACCACATGTACTTATTGTCTGTCATATCAAACTCCTCAGCATCACATCCAAAGTTCACCATTTAGTCATGATTTCTCTACTGCGCAGTGGCTTCACTAGCAGATATTGACATTCCTACTATCTCTCTACTTATTACCCTGAGCATCTATTGTCTTCCTCTGTTCTACCCACTTGCAGTAAGCTCTGCTGGGAAGTTAGAGGGATTTCTTCCCTGTCTGCTTCTCTCTACGAGTCCATGACTTTTACTTCTTTAAGGGTTGATTTTCATTGGCCCCAACCTGTACTCAGATTACTCTTCTATCACTCATCTTCCTGGTGTTCTATTTATACTTGTGAATATGCTATTTTTTTCTGTCCCCTAATTTTCCAATATGGACAGTTGGGTAGGCACTTATTAAATACTTATTCTTTTGATGGACCAATGATATCTTGGAGGCATCACAGTTTTCAGCTCTGTTCATTGTACTGTGTCCTCAAACACATCTTAACTCTGCTAACCAAATTACACAGGATGAGTTTATTTCACTTCCACTTGAGAGGCAGGTCAAAAGACAAACAATCTGAAGATGAAACCTTAGGGAATGCTCTAACATAAACTCTCTGACACAGTTATTCTGCCAAGATGAAAAGATCTTCCTTGACAAAGAACATTTTACATGCTATCATGGTTCCCTGCATGATGAGACCTTCTGTATAGGGTGGGAAGCTGAAGGCTAAGACAGAGTATAAGCCCTTCAGTCCCTCAGAAGGCTACAGAAAGTATGATGAAGCTGGAGAGATGAACATTTCTAGTATGGTCACCCGTT